TGTAGAACTTTTTAGGCGTAATAAGCGGCGATCCGGAGCTTAAGAAACAAGGTAAAAAGGTGGTGGAAAGCGGACCAAATGACCGCATTTTTGTCTATTTGGAAGACCATGGTGCTAAAGGTATGTTTCGAGAGAGAGAGAGAGAGAGAGAGAGAGAGTATTTATTAGTAGTGTTATATGTTATATAAAATTCGCATTAAATTTTATAAATAACTTACTAGGTTCAAAATCAAGTGTAATGTCCAGAGGTTGGCCACGTTTAATTTGACAAAATTCGGTACCATTGCATGATTTGATGTCAAATTTGAATGTTTTACCATAATCGCGGTGATCCAGATCTGAATTATCATCACAATTACATTAATTAATGTTATTTCATACACAAATAAAAACACCAACCGCAATCTCTAAATGGGAGATCGTGTGCTAATACCGTTGCGGCCAACAATAGTGTCAAATATGCAACTAATTTCATCATTTTATTTATTTTATAAAATAAAATTCTTATTAAAAATTGAAGATTTAAATTATATTTTATGAAAATTAATCCATATTTATACCAAAATATTATTAAATAAATTTTTTAATCTAATGTACAAAGTATAAAAAGTTACAAGTTTTACTTAAGTTCCAGTGACTAATGCAAAATAATAATAATTCAACTATCACAAATTGTCCATATTGATATAAGCTAAATTTAATGAATATCCACTATAGTACAGTTGTTTTAGATCTCATAATTGCATAATTAGGGCAAGTAATTGACAATGAGTCATTTATGTAATAACAGCATCAACATTATAAATAAATTGAAGGGCTTAAACAAAGATCAAGGTTTAATTAAAATCACATAAAAATTAGACGATTCTACTCTACGATAATATCGTAATATGGTTACAATATCAATAATGTATACCTGTGTAAAAATGTACGTGTGTTCAATATATACCTGTATATCTGATTTTATTATAATAATTGTAAGTATTGCAAACATTTAATGACATTTCATTAGAATACCACTTATAGAATAAGTCTACTACATGTACCTGATACTTATTGGTGTTTTTCTAGATTTATATAAACTAAACATATTGATTTATTAATCTATCAGTTAATTTTTTAGTGAACTGTAAGAAATAGTTTCTTAAGTTGTATGAAATAGTAGTACTCATCATAAAAGCACTATACAATCATTATGTTCATAGATTAATTATTAGATAAAGACCAATTGAGTATATAATTAACGGAATAAAAGCTCATGTTTAATAAATTTATATTTATCTAAAAAATTTAATAATAATGAAAGTATTAACAGTATTTTGTGCGCTATTCATAGCCGCAAATGCGGTGCCATTTCTCAAACAATTAGAGGAGCCCTTTGAGGGCAAGACATGGGTCGTGCTGTGCGCCAGCGCTGATACCTGGATCAATTATGGCATGCCGGTAAGTTTGCTCTCTCTCTCTCTCTCTCTCTCAATAATAATAATATAANTATCACCAATACTAACAATACATATAATAACTTCATTATAGTTATTATACTTTTAAGTTAATTATAAAAAGTATTAATAAATCTATGTTGAATAATAAACTAATATAACAATTGGTTTTCAGTATTTATACAGTACTTTAAATATTTATATATTTTTACCAAACAAAGAAATTTAGTACTTGAATGATGTGATCGTGACATTATAAGTGTCTTGTGACATGTAATCTGGCTAAAATATTTTTAAAATTCTACTGAAATGTCGCTAATATATTGCAATATTGGACGTTGTTTTAAATTAATCTCTCGGCAGGTGACTATCAACTGCACATGGTTATTGTGCGATAATAATGTAGGGGTATTGTTCTTAAGTTTTAACATAAGTACTATTGTATAAGTAATATAAGTAATACATGTATAATATATGTATAATAACTGACTATTTGTAAAAGTATAATTTGATTTTTAATTTTAAAATTTACCATTATATAATTGGAACATGATGTTTATCATAATAAATAATTATTTTTATTTATTAATTATTTATGTCATTATTGTACACAATCTAATAGTTGTTTATGTTTACATAAGCCGATTATGTAACTATTATTTCAAGGTAATGTTTATTCTGTATTAATTATCAGTTATAGTTAACAATCAAGGTTAATTAAGTAATTAAATTTTAGTTTTATTTATAATTTTAGTTTTATTTATAATTTTTGTTTTATTTATAATTTTAGTTTTAGTCATTTTGAAAAATTAATTTTAATAAATAAAATATTTAAACATTTTTATAAGTAATTTTGCAAATAATTTTATTCATTATATCAGTTTTTTCATACCTATTAATTTTCAAATAGATTATTGTAAAATATCAAATATAAGAATATAATAACATGATGAACATTTAGGCAAATCAATTACACAATACGTTCACTGGGCTTAACGAGTCTATCACAAAATTGGGACAAACTGTTGACAGCGATATCCGCAGCACTCGATTCGCATATATTGACAAAAATGTGCATTTTATTTAATGCATACGTATTCTGTAGATAAATAATAATAATTTAAAATATATACAATTTAAAATAAAGGCATTTTAAAAATTAGTTATTAATACAAACCTCTCCAATATTATAGCACTTATCATAGAAAGTGTCGACAAGTTTTGTATAACACTCTCTATTATTGAGCTCTAGTCTCTCATTGAGCACAACATTGGCCTCAATTCCCGGTAAAGTATTCACGTATTCCTTAATCTGTTTGTCCAACAATTCTCGTCGGGATAAATATCCCATCAATTCTTCAATATAGCTATTATTTTAATTACAATTAATGATTAATATAAAGTGATAAATATAAGATATTTATTTTAATTACGCTTGTTTCATTTCAGCATCATCTGTGACCTCGATCTTATGTTTTACAATATTTATAGCCGCATCACGTGATAGTGAAAATCCGGTACTAGGCTCGGGTTGGACAGTATTAACGCTGTTGATTACTTTCTTATCACCTATGCAAATTAAATTAATTAAAATAAATAAATTTGTTGTTCACAAGTTACCAGTTTAATCAAATGTCAAATAGGATTACTATACCCATATATTGTCCCACATGCTCGTTCTTAGCGATGGTCAAATCTCCATACTCCTGTGCGTGTTGCGAGTGCACCTCACCGTCCATGGTGAAGTTATTGTGCTTCTTAAGGTACTGGTATTGTGCCTCGACACTCTCCTTGGTCAGATCAGCCTGTTCGCTGTTTTCCAACCATTTGACCGACATCCATACGGCTTAATTAGTAATAAATACAAATATATATTTTACAATTTTAACCTAAACGCTCTCTCTCTCTCTCTCTCTCTCTCGAAACATACAATTAATCAAAATGTTTACGTTTAGGCCGATATATACCACGCTTACCATGTGATCAAAGATCACGGTATACCCGATGAAAACATAATTGTGATGCATTACGACGACATCGCCCAACACCCCCAAAATCCCAGCCCCGGTATTGTAATTAACAGACCCGACGGACCCGATGTCTACTACGGAGTGCCCAAACATTACATCAGTAAAGATGTCACACCCAAGGTAATACATAATATTTATATAACTTGCATATTAATTATAAACCAGTATATTACTTCAATTCATCCATGTTCATGTAGAACTTTTTAGGCGTAATAAGCGGCGATCCGGAGCTTAAGAAACAAGGTAAAAAGGTGGTGGAAAGCGGACCAAATGACCGCATTTTTGTCTATTTGGAAGACCATGGTGCTAAAGGTATGTTGCTCAGATAATTATTTAAATAAATGTCATATTAATGAAAATTAGATAGATGACTTATAACAAAATTGGATATAGATTATATAGTTGTAATTATAAATTATTATTATATTTATTATATTATAATCATTATACTTTATTTGTTTAGATACAATACTTTAAAAACTAACTAATGTACATGATTTACAATTACAGAAGTGGTCTCATTCCCAACTGGTGGCATGCTACACGCCAAGGAACTCAACCAAGTGCTAACTAAAATGCACACCGACAAGAAATTCGCCAAGCTCGTTATTTATATAGACGCTTGCGAGTCAGGTATGTGTATTAGAGTTAAATAATGTCACTTAGAACTTAGTAAAATATAATTTTATCTAAATTAACAACTATTGTAACTATTAAAATAGGCTCAATGTTTGATAAACTACTGCCAACTGATATTAATGTATACGCCGTGTCGGCTACTAAACCTGATGAGCTCGGTTGGAAAGCATACCATGAAAAAACAAAGTACTTTACTTATTTAGGTAAATAGTTTTAATATAATTAATAATTATATTATTATTATTGAGAGAGAGAGAGAGAGAGAGAGAGAGAGAGCGTTTAGGTTAAAATTGTAAAATATATATTTGTATTTATTACTAATTAAGCCGTATGGATGTCGGTCAAATGGTTGGAAAACAGCGAACAGGCTGATCTGACCAAGGAGAGTGTCGAGGCACAATACCAGTACCTTAAGAAGCACAATAACTTCACCATGGACGGTGAGGTGCACTCGCAACACGCACAGGAGTATGGAGATTTGACCATCGCTAAGAACGAGCATGTGGGACAATATATGGGTATAGTAATCCTATTTGACATTTGATTAAACTGGTAACTTGTGAACAACAAATTTATTTATTTTAATTAATTTAATTTGCATAGGTGATAAGAAAGTAATCAACAGCGTTAATACTGTCCAACCCGAGCCTAGTACCGGATTTTCACTATCACGTGATGCGGCTATAAATATTGTAAAACATAAGATCGAGGTCACAGATGATGCTGAAATGAAACAAGCGTAATTAAAATAAATATCTTATATTTATCACTTTATATTAATCATTAATTGTAATTAAAATAATAGCTATATTGAAGAATTGATGGGATATTTATCCCGACGAGAATTGTTGGACAAACAGATTAAGGAATACGTGAATACTTTACCGGGAATTGAGGCCAATGTTGTGCTCAATGAGAGACTAGAGCTCAATAATAGAGAGTGTTATACAAAACTTGTCGACACTTTCTATGATAAGTGCTATAATATTGGAGAGGTTTGTATTAATAACTAATTTTTAAAATGCCTTTATTTTAAATTGTATATATTTTAAATTATTATTATTTATCTACAGAATACGTATGCATTAAATAAAATGCACATTTTTGTCAATATATGCGAATCGAGTGCTGCGGATATCGCTGTCAACAGTTTGTCCCAATTTTGTGATAGACTCGTTAAGCCCAGTGAACGTATTGTGTAATTGATTTGCCTAAATGTTCATCATGTTATTATATTCTTATATTTGATATTTTACAATAATCTATTTGAAAATTAATAGGTATGAAAAAACTGATATAATGAATAAAATTATTTGCAAAATTACTTATAAAAATGTTTAAATATTTTATTTATTAAAATTAATTTTTCAAAATGACTAAAACTAAAATTATAAATAAAACAAAAATTATAAATAAAACTAAAATTATAAATAAAACTAAAATTTAATTACTTAATTAACCTTGATTGTTAACTATAACTGATAATTAATACAGAATAAACATTACCTTGAAATAATAGTTACATAATCGGCTTATGTAAACATAAACAACTATTAGATTGTGTACAATAATGACATAAATAATTAATAAATAAAAATAATTATTTATTATGATAAACATCATGTTCCAATTATATAATGGTAAATTTTAAAATTAAAAATCAAATTATACTTTTACAAATAGTCAGTTATTATACATATATTATACATGTATTACTTATATTACTTATACAATAGTACTTATGTTAAAACTTAAGAACAATACCCCTACATTATTATCGCACAATAACCATGTGCAGTTGATAGTCACCTGCCGAGAGATTAATTTAAAACAACGTCCAATATTGCAATATATTAGCGACATTTCAGTAGAATTTTAAAAATATTTTAGCCAGATTACATGTCACAAGACACTTATAATGTCACGATCACATCATTCAAGTACTAAATTTCTTTGTTTGGTAAAAATATATAAATATTTAAAGTACTGTATAAATACTGAAAACCAATTGTTATATTAGTTTATTATTCAACATAGATTTATTAATACTTTTTATAATTAACTTAAAAGTATAATAACTATAATGAAGTTATTATATGTATTGTTAGTATTGGTGATAGCGGTAAATGCTGTACCAATTGATCAGGAGTTTACCGGTACAAAATGGGTTGTATTAGTTGCAGGTGCTCCGGGTTGGGTTGATTATGCCAGTCAGGTATGCATATTATAACCTAGTCAATATTTATTATACATAAAATAAAATGAATTAACTTATTTATTTAAAAGTCAAGCGTATATCACGCCTACCAAGTTGTTCACGCGAACGGCATACCCGATGAAAACATCATAGTGTTTCACCCTGATGATATCGCCAACAACAAAGCAAACCCGACACCGGGTAAAATTATTGATCATCCCGGCGGCGATGATGTCTATCACGGAGTGCCTAAGGATTATACCGGCAATGATGTCAACCCTACTGTAACTTAATTTATTATGATAATAATCAATTTTAGCATTATTTAATTAAAATTGTATTTTAATCAATTACAGACATTTATCAACGTTTTAAAGGGTAGCCAAGAGTTGGCGAGTAAAGGCAAAAAGGTGCTTAATAGTGGGCCTAATGATCATGTGTTTATCTATTTCCTTGATCATGGTGCAGATGGTAAGTGTTTAGCTCTCTCTCTCTCTCTCTCTCTCTCTCTCTCTCTCTCTGACACGGGTAACTTTGCGATTGAAACATCACCATATTGCTGTGCCTGTTGGGTAAAATTTTCTGCATCTA